CACTGTTTGTTAGAAACTGCATTATCAATCTTGATCAGCAAACAAGCAGATCATTCATTTTCGAAATCACGTGATCTTTTTTTACTCCTGACATACTACTAAAAGACCATGTAGATGATACTCAGAAGATGGAAAGCAACTCTGCGGATAGTCTCGAAACAACACAATACCAGTGGTATGAAATTATCCATTCAAACGGATAAAAAAATGCATTGTACAAAATCAAAATTCTCGATCACTATCATGTTAAAGCGGTCTTTTCCACTTATTCCTCTACTTCAAATTTTTCTTTTTATTCAAAAAGCTTTCTTTAGATGTTTTCGAAAAAAAAGCTTTTGCCTGCTTGAATGGCGGCTAAACTAGACGCTCTTCTAGTTCCCAGGTTTAAGTATATCATTTATTTCAAAAAGTTACTGTCTAAATAAAAAAGAAACAAACTAGACATAAATTACAGAAACGTAAAAAAATAAATTGTTCGTCTTATCGCTGCTCCATCTCAGCGTGGACAATCTAGGCTCTCTGTCAATCTGCACTTTTCATAATGCACAGAGTCTATGTATTTCCCGAATATCAGATTTTTAAAGAGATAGCACTGGTCGATTTCGAGAGCACATCATTAATCTCGTACTCAAAATAAGACGCAGAACAGAATTACTTCGACGCCTACTTTCTTTCCTTTCTGTTGCATAACGCATGATGAAGCATTTTTTTTTTAAATGTCGCCAATCTCTTTCTGTTCTGTTCTTTTTGCTTCGTCACTCGCCTTCCTTCTTTCTGTTTATACCAGAGATGGGCGAGTACTTTTCTCGAGTACTTCAGTATTTTGAATTTCCAAATTGTAAAATAACACTTGGAGACGAGATCTACGCCTAACCGATGCAGTGTTTTTCGCGCTACAAAACTGCATAAAACACTTCACTTTCTTGTGCATGGCTCGACAGAAATTTAGTTCAAAAGGAAGTACTCGTAAAAAAAGTACTCGAAAATTTTTTTTGTCTCGAGTACTTGCTTTAGTACTAAATTTCTGTCGAGCCATGCATAAAATAGTGAAGTGTTTTATGTAGTTTTGTAGCGCGAAAAACACTGCATCGGTTAGGCGTAGATCTCGTCTCCAAGTGTTATTTTACAATTTGGAAATTCAAAATACTGAAGTACTCGAGAAAAGTACTTGCCCATCTCTGCTTTTAAAGTTTATACTTCTTATTTCTTTCACTCTCTCACACTTATTTCTTCTTTTTTTGCCCGCACATCATGCGTCACACAAAAAAAAATCGGATGGCTGGCGAAAAGACAGCTATCATGTTATACGGAATGGCAATGTCCACGTGTACCAGACGAGTTCGGTGTGTGTTAGAAGAAATGGGTTTACCGTATGAACTTGTGTTGGTTGATTTGGGCAAGGGTGGACATAAGCAACCGGCTCATCTTGCTTTGCAACCATTTGGCAAAGTTCCTGTACTTGAAGATACCGATGGAACAAAAATATTTGAATCTAGAGCAATCATGCGATATTTGTTGAAGAAGTACCCAACGGAAGGTAATGGTTGAGGGCGTGAAAAACTGGAGGGATTTTTACGCAGATTCTGTCATATTGATTCTAAACATACAGTTTTTCCACCAATCAACCTTCTCTTTTGGAAAAAAATTCAGTCACCCAATAGACATCGCATGAAACTTAAAAAAAATGAAATTTTCAAATTTAAATAGCTACTTTCGACGCTGCGGTGTAAAACCCGAGTTTGTTTACCAATTCTTAAAGAACTTACCCATTATATTAAACAAGTTTTACTGAGAAAAACGCGAAACTTTGCAATGGCGAGTAAAGTATGACGGAAGTTTTAAGTTCAGAAAATTTTAATCCTGAAGCTGCTGCTCTCGTTTGGGTTTCCCACTGTGGAAACCAAAGATGAAACATTTGGGTGAAGTTGATCAGAAATTGGTGGACGACAAAAGAAAGAAGTTGGAAGGTGTCGTAGCAATTCTCGATACTCATTTGGCAAGGAATCAATACTTTGCTGGCAATCAATTCACTTTGGCTGATATTACTTATTATCCATTCAAACGGATAAAAAATGCATTGTACAAAATCAAAATTCTCGATCACTATCATGTTAAAGCGGTCTTTTCCACTTATTCCTCTACTTCAAATTTTTCTTTTTATTCAAAAAGCCTTCTTTCGATGTTTTTGAAAAAAAAGCTGTTGCCTGCTTGAATGGCGGCTAAACTAGACGCTCTTCTAGTTCCCAGGTTTAAGTATATCATTTATTTCAAAAAGTTACTGTCTAAATAAAAAAGAAACAAACTAGACATAAATTACAGAAACGTAAAAAAATAAATTGTTCGTCTTATCGCTGCTCCATCTCAGCGTGGACAATCTAGGCTCTCTGTCAATCTGCACTTTTTTTTGAAACATAGTGAATACTTAGGCGGAGTGACTTTAAGTCAATACGTGTTGAGAATGATGCTATTATTGTCAGTGCTAGTGCAAAAGATCATTTTTTTAGACATTGTTGTGCAGAGTAGAAGGAAATATCTACCAACTGATGGTACTAGCTATCGGAAAACATACACCTTATACACAGTTCGAATGAAGAACTAGAACATGAAGCTTATGCTTGAAAGATACGTCTTCGACAGAGCGAAGAGTTATATAAGGATACGGGAAGACATATTCGCGAAAGCGAAAAATGTTT